ACACACACAACAAACACACACTTGCAAGAACACGTTCAGAGTATCGAGTTCCTGCTGACAAAATTCCTTAGATGTGCATTACAGGACCTCAGCATAGACAAACAAGCAACATTGGCATATCTGGCAACTGATCCCCTCAACTGTAACACTGGAGTATGTTTGTGTGTGTGTTGAAAGGTTTCTTTTGGGTTTTAATGATGTGTGGATGTAAGGACGGTGTGTGTTATCTTGTTTCCCTAAAGAACCCGCTTTTTATTTTCTCAATTGTTGCCTTAGTGCTAACTGCCAAGCGAAATCCGACGAACACAGGTCAAAGTATACCCTACATGCACAATTATCACAGTTCCCTTTGAGCATCTTTAGAGCGAAAACATAGCTAATGGAATTGAGTCTTGATTTTGTCCTTAAGCACGTAAAAACCCAGAACAAAACAAGCATTTGTCATCATCATAGAGCATCCCAAATTACACAAAAATGACAACACTCATATCAGCAGGCCTACAGACAACTTACTACACTAAAGAACTGCAGGTGATTTACCTATTGTGTTTCACTCTTTATTTCAACAAATCTACAGATGAGGCAACCATGAACATCCTGAGTATTTATGACCATGCATTGCTCCATTTTCTTAAAGAATAAAGTATATCTATCTCTCTATAAATATATGTAAATCTATAATTCAGCATATTAGAGTGTTAAAAAAAGATTATGCTTTATTTTAGGGCATTATGCTAGTTCTGTATAAAAAAGAAAAGAAAAGAAAGAAGATCTATGTTCTGTTGAGTGTTATTGTGGTAAGATATATGGTGAGGTTATCCATGCCTCATCCTTTATGTTGCTTTCAGGGTAAGGAGATGTTTTTATTTTGGGATAATAATACTAACTATAAAAATACAGCAACAAAAAATGTGACCAAATTATCAAAGTATATATGCATATATATATACTTTATACTGTACAACTGTGTAGACGTAGAAATGTGTGATGTTCCTTTGTGAAATCTGTTAAAAAGTTAAGATTTAAGAAAAAGATTGTGTACAAATGTATGTTTTTGATGTGTTCGATTTTAACCAATGAAAATAAAGAAAACACTGATAAAGATACAAATGACTTTTTGTTTTTTGGAGGGATTTTAGTTGCATTTTCATTGCCATGCCTGATTGTTTATAACCTGTTAAAATACAGTGAATATTATCTTTAAATCTGTTTAACTTTTGAATCTTGAGAATCAACTAGTGTGGCACATACATCTAACATGCAATACAAATTCAAACAACACGAGTCTGCAAAGTAGCACATATATTGTAGATATATTGTATATTGTAGATCATTTAGTTTGTAGTGCAGTATCAGAATCAGAATCAGAAATACTTTAATAATCCCCGTG